TTTTTTTTTTGCAGTCCCAGGGATTGAACTCAGGACCTTGTGCTTGCCAGGCAGGCACTTATGCCACTGAGCTATCTCCCCAGCCCCTTACAGCACATACAGCACAGCTAGGTGCCGTATATATGCCTGTAATCCCAGCATTTGGGAGCCCAAAAGAGGAGGATCACCACAAGTTTGAGGCTAACCTGGCCCATATAGTGAGTTCAAGGGCAGCCTGGACTACACAGGGAGACCCTGTGTCAAAATAAATAAGGCTGGCCAAATAGCTCAGAGGATTAAAGCAGCTGCAAGCAGGCTCAGGAGCCAGGAGTTTGATTCCCAGACCTGCTGTGCCAGCCCTGTCCCCGGAGTGAGCTGAGATGGCAATTGAGACTGGATGTGGTGGCAGGCGCCTGCAATCCCAGCACTTGGGAGACTGTAAAAAGGAGAATCATTGTGAGTCTGATCTAGTAGTGAGACCCTGAACACCCTGTAGACCCTTCCCTAAAATACAGAGAAAAAATAAATACATGAATGAGTAAAATAAAATTACTACAGTAAAAGATATACTCTCATTATACTCTCCTCAAAATACTCTTCCTTGCTTTTATCCCATCCCTGCCACTGTTTGAAGCAGTTGTGGAAGTCATTTTTTTTTCTTTTTGCATCCAGCTGAAGGCCTCTTTTGGGAAGGTCTTTAAGAGTGTAGTCAAGGGCCAGTGAGATAGCTCAGTGAACAAAACACCTGCTTAGGCCAAGCCCAGTGACCAGGGTTCAATCCCCAACACCACATACTGCACTGGCCCCGCTCATAGGTGTGCTGAGCCGGCCACCAACGTGGCATGTAATCCCAATGCTGGGGAGTCTGAAAACAGGAGGATCACTATGAGTCCAAGCTATGTAGTGAGACCTTGCAGTCAAAAATACAGTAAATGCCCCTGCTGAGCACCATCCAGCAGTAAGGCAGACTTAGAAAAACATGTCTGTGTTTTGATCCACCTTAGACATTGGATGTGGCACCATGTGCTTCTGGCTTTTCTCCAAAGTCAAAATGATGGTGAAAGGTAGATGTTTTGAATCAGTTCAACACACTGAAATAGGAACAACAGCACAACTAAAGATACTCATGAAAGAAGTTATCTGCGGGGATATACCTCAGCAGCATGAGTGCTTGCCTGGCAAGCACAAGGTCCTAAGTCTGATTCCTGATATCCCCTCCAAAATAAAACCAAGAAGTCTTCCAGAACTTCTTCAAGAAGTAGCAAAAACAATGGGATAAGTGTGTTTGAGGTAAGGGGGAGTATAGTCTGATGAGGATTAGTGGCAATATGACTTTTTTTTTTTGGTGTGTGTGTGTGTGTATTTTAGGGAAGGGTTTACAGGGTGTTTAGGGTCTCACTACTAAATAGGACTAGTAGTGATTCTCCTGTTTACTGCACCACCAGCCCAGTCTCAATTGTGCCCTGGGGGTAGGGCCAGCACAACAAGCCTGGGGATTGAACGTAGGCTCAGCCTGCGGAGCTTTAATCTTTTTTTTTTTTTCTTGCGGAACCAGGGATTGAACTCAGGCCCTTGTGCTTGCCAGGGAAGCGCTTATTCCACTGAGCCATCTCCCTGGCCCTGGCGCTTTAATCTTCATTGTATTTTTTTGGTCAACACCTATTATCATCTCTAAGGTCAAGTTCTGTCCAGTGAAATTCACCCAGTCCATAGCGAAGGGACTGCAGAGTGCATAGTAAGGACATAGTAGAGAGCTATGGCTTAACCACATTAGGTTCTTCTTGCTGTCCCTACCTAGGTCCTATCTTGGGTCAGGTGCTAGGCATACCCCCAGTCAGATAACAAATACTCTAGGTGATTGAGGGTGGGAGGGGGGTGGACAGTGTGAGAGTAGGGAGATAAGACCCCTCACATGACCTCCCCCTGCAGGTGAGAAACCCTACATCTGCCCCTATGAGGGCTGCAACAAGCGCTACTCCAACTCGAGTGATCGCTTCAAGCACACTCGCACCCACTATGTGGACAAGCCCTACTACTGCAAGATGCCAGGCTGCCATAAGCGCTACACGGACCCCAGTTCACTACGCAAGCACATCAAAGCCCATGGACACTTTGTGTCCCATGAGCAGCAGGAGCTCCTACAGCTGCGCCCACCCCCTAAACCACCACTACCTGCTCCCGACAATGGCCCCTATGTCAGTGGGGCCCAGATCATTATTCCCAATCCTGCTGCCCTCTTTGGAGGTCCCAGTCTACCAGGCTTGCCCCTGCCCCTGGCCCCAGGTCCCCTTGACCTCAGTGCCCTGGCTTGTGGCAATGGTGGGGGTGGTGGAGGTGGAGGGGGCATGGGCCCTGGGCTGCCGAGCCCTGTCCTGCCCCTCAATCTGGCCAAGAACCCACTGTTGCCATCCCCTTTTGGAGCTGGTGGACTGGGCCTGCCTGTGGTCTCCCTCCTCGCTGGCTCCGCTGGCGGCAAGGCTGAGGGGGAGAAGGGTCATGGGTTGGTACCTGCCCGGGCCCTGGGTATGGAGGGCCGTAAGACTCCCCTTGAAAGGACGGAGAGCAGTCGCTCCCGGCCAAGCCCTGATGGACTCTCCCTGCTGCCGGGCACTGTGTTGGACCTGTCCACAGGAGTCAGTTCAGCAGCCAACAGTCCAGAGGCACTAACCTCTGGCTGGGTGGTCATCCCACCAGGCTCTGTGCTGCTCAAACCAGCTGTGGTGAACTGAGCCTGACTGCCTACCAGCTATGCAGTACAGCCAGCAACTCCAGGCCTCTGCCCTGACAAACAGAAACCCTTCTGCGAAACAGCAATAATGTTCCATTGCCCTGGGGCCTGGTGGTCTGTGCTTCCCAGGCAGCTGCAGCCTCAGATGAAGGGGCAGTAGGCATGGTGCTACAAGGTCACTGCTGGCTTTCCAGCTCTCAAGTGAGGACCTGGACTTGCCATCCAACGAGAGCTGCGCTCTTGGGTGCTGAGGCCTCACTTCTGGCCTCTTGTCCTATAGTTTCTGTGAGGCCCCCCTCTGCCCATCCTCCCCCTCAAGCCACCCTGTTCTCCTACCCTGGTGCCTCCTTTGTCTTGTGGCTGACCTGTGCAGGTCACCTTCCTTGTTTTACCCAATGGCCAGCAGAGACTGCTGCCCAAGTCCCAGCAGTCAGGTGTATAGGGTAGCATCTACCCTGCCTGCTGCTGTCAGGTTCCCTTACCACTTCCTTCATGTGAGTCATAAGAAAGGAGTCCCCAAGGATCAGAGGTCCCAACCCCACCAAGGCTCACTTAGCCCCTACCGCAGCTTCTTGACCCCTTTCCCTCTAGCCCAACCCTCTGGAGGGAGAGCAAGATAGACGCAGGCCCAGCTAAGCCACAGGAAGACACTGCATTCTCCCTACCTACCCCTGTGACAAGGTGCCTCCCTGACTACTGGAGAAAGGAGGCCTGCTTGGTCAGCTGCTGCCACCCATTGCCCAGCCTAAATCAGCACTGATGGAAGGAAGGTAGGCTGCATTAAGAAGGGATAGCTGACCACTCACCTGTCCCTGCACCTGGACCTCTTCCTGTCTTTTGGGCACACTGGAAGCATGGGAAGTAGATCCAACACATGTAGCCCTCTGGCCCAACCTGGGCTCCATTTTCCTCAACCCAGCTAGACCTAGCCTGAAGAATGTCACCCTATAGAAGCCTGCAGGGCATTGGTCCAGCACTTGGAGAGGGGAGACTGGCTGAGCCACCCCAGGCTGGGAGGTAACTCCAAGTCTTGGGAGTACCAAATCATGGCATGCCAGGGAGGGCCTGAAGAGATATCTAGAGGCTATAGACTAAAGGCTCTGGGCTTACGGGAGGATAGGTCATCAAGAATATCATTGCCTGGCCCCTCTGTTGGGAAAGAGCTGGCTAGAGGAAGGAACCTGACTTAGGACAGCATTCTTTCCTTTAGTTTTTCCCAGCTGAGCTCTTTTCCTAGAGATATGTCCCTTCCACTTCTAGCTCCCTTAGGATTTGTGTGCTACTCTGAATAGGGTCTAGCTCTTCTGCAGGGGCCAGAATAAGTGAAAGATGCTGGAGACATGTGCTCCACAGGCCCACCCACAAACCAATCCCAGGAACCTGGGCCCTGCTGCAAACCACCACCACTGGCCCCTTGCTGTTCCCTCTGCCAGCAGTTGGGAGCTCTGGTTTCTAGGCCAGCACTGTCACTAGACTGCAGAGTGGTCAAGCCCTTCTACTTCTCTTATTTCCAGAACAAAAGAGCTGCCAGATGACAGTGAGGTAGGTCCTCAGCTCTTAAGTTCCTCTGAGTAGCTCTGCTGACCCTACTTTTTGCTGGACTGCCCTTCTGCCCCAGAGGGGTCACCCTGATCTGGCCTGCCTGGCTGTTGGGCCTAGGAGCTCTGGCCATGTTAGCTCTGCCCCTTGAAGGGGCTGTGAGGAAACAGGAAGGAGCTGGTCTCCTTTCTTTGGGGCCTATCCAGGACCCAAGTACACACCCACCCCCAAATCCCTGTCAGAGTCCCAGGCCTTAAGTCCCTCGCTGGGGGATTATGGGCTTGAGACTCAAGCCCAGGAGCAGAGGAACAGGGCACTGGAAGGTGACATTAGCTCAGCATGTGATTCTGTGATAGACCAGGCTTGGAAGGGCCGGTGAACTTTTTGTTGTCAGTTTGTTGTTGCACATTCCAGGATATCAGTATTTTAACAGGTTCTAAGTGCCTTTCTATTGTAGCTTATGTTTTTCCTCCTCTTGGCTCCATTGCTGTTAGCATAGAGTTTAAAAAAAAAAAAAAAAGATAAGCTAATGACTATAACAATATATTCCTCCATGTGAGAGGAAGTTTATAAAGAAACAATAAAAGTGAATTGTGAAGATGGTTTCCGTGTCATGGATGTGACTGGAGCTGGGCTGTCTTGATTCTAGACCACCCCATCCTACAACTGGCTGTGGGATCCTCCAACTATAGCATCAAAAACCCCAACCAGGGTGTTTCTCCTCGACCCTGCAGGTGCTACTCTCTACCTGTGAGCAGGAGTGCTTAGGAGGGGATAGGTGTCAAGAGCAGAGGCAGAAGATTCTGGGCTAAGCACATTGCAAGTGCCACTGCCTGTCATGAATGGTTAAGTGGCACCTCAGTCCAGTGAACTGGATGCTGAGCATTCTGCCCAGGTCATCATGATGCCAGAGTCAAGCCCAGCCCAGGAAGTTCTGGCCAGGGGCTCCTTTACCCTGAAGGGAGGGAGAACACCTGAAGATGACAACTGGATTTTCACGTACCAGGATAGAGGAATGAGCCAGGCATTGGGGGAGCAGTTTTGTGATGGGCTCTGTCTCACACATCGGCCATTTGTCAGCCCTATCTTCACCCACCCTTTAGGCTACCAGTGGTTTCTGCCTCCCATCCCAGCATAGTCCTACAATCCCTACAACAGCAGAAAGAGCAAGCTACCTTCTAGAATTAGGATACACGCACAGGAGAAATGCAGGAAAGACATTTATTACTGAGCTATAAATTAAGAGGCAGTGGGTTGGGATATAGGGGAAGATGAACAGTCATGTTTTAGGCATCTGACTTTTTTCTCTGTCCTCCTGGGCCTGGATTTTGAGTTCCTCATCCAGGCGCTCCTTTGCACGGACGACCTGGGGGAATCAGGAGATCAAGCTCTGGCACAGCCTCTGCCCTTTGTTCCTTGCCTGCATGGCTGGCCTTTTCCCTTCCCTCCTTAGAGGACAGGAGTGAGTTATGAACACTTCCTTTCCTTTAGCAACGTCTTAGGGGATTGCTTCTAGGCCTTTTGGCTAAGATCAAGTACAGCAGTGTCAGGCTGGCAAGATAGCTCAGAGGACTAAGCACCTGCTCAGGGAAAGAACAAGGTCCAGGTTTGATGCCTGGAACCACATGCCACACTGGCACTGGCCCTGCCCCTGGGCACGCTGAGATGGCCAAGACCACGTGTAGTAGCACACACCTGTAATCCCAATGCTGGGGAGGCTGAAACAAGATCACTACCAGTCTAAACTGCGTAGTGGAACCCCAAATACATTAAAAAAATTTATATATATATATATATATATATATATATATATATATATATATATTAGTGTCTCAGGGTGAGGAGCAGTCTGTGGACAGCCCTTTTTCCAGAAGAGCCCAGCATTGAGCATCTGCACTTCTGCAGCTGGAGGGGAGGTCACTATCAGTGGCTGCTCCTGATGCCTCACCTGGGCACTGTGGAACTGGGGGAGCCACAGGAGTGGTAGTTTGTAAGGGCCAAACTGCTATATGCCAGCTGCTGTGCCTGGAAATGAGGGGCCCAAGTAAAGTAGAAGTTCACAGCTTGCTTTCCTTTTTTTTTTTTTTTTTTTTGCTCCAAATGCCTTCAGGGCAGGTTTGGCTGGCTTGAGTTGTGGGGATTGAACCACAGCAACCTGAGCCTGACTGCTTGGTTGAAGCAGCCACTTAAAGAACTGAGCTAAGGGGCAGGCCCCCCCACAGCTTACTTTCTTGGAGAATTAGTACTCACCTTTGACTGCAAGTAGAAGGAGCCACCCACGGACTTATCATTCACTTTAAATAAGTGTTCATAGTTCTGTGGCAGAAAGGAGATGGTGAGCATGTTTACAATCTTGAGGTAAAATATCAGGGAAAGCTAATGAGGAAGTAAAGCTCTGTGGCCTGCTACATCCCACATGCCACACCACATAACTCTAGAAGCTGCTGTGACTGCTGAGGGTCAGAGACAGGACTGGTACATGCAGAAGGGATGAGCTCAGCTACTCCCAATTGCCCCATGTCTTTGCAACTGCCCTAGTTGGGTCTAAAATTTAAGCAACACTGCCTCCTTCAAGTGGGAATCTCCGATGGCTGCAGTCAGAGCCTCTATACACACCCACTTTTGCCAGCCACCCTCCACCCCCAACTTTAGGAGCCAGTCTGGTGACCTTACCTTTTGGATCTCCTCTGCATTCAGCTTGGAGATGTTGAGAATCTGCTGGGCCTCCTGGAGGCTGAGGCCAGAGAGGTTGGATGCAGCTGCAGACTGGTGTCCTGCACGGCCCCGAGCGTCAGCTGCTGCCCGGCTAGCTGTTTGGACATGCAGGTGACCACTCTGTTCTCAGAGGCCCAGAGTGCCCCCTGGGACTTCCAAGTGGGTGGCATAGAAAAGACACATAGGAACAAAAGTGGGCAGGAGAAGTTCTTCTCTAGTAGTGGCTTTTTTTGGGGGGATGGGCTGGGGGATGAGGACAGATATGCCCCACTGGTTGAGTAGGGCAAGATCTGACCATAAATCCTGGCTCCTTAATGGGGCGGTGGCACAGACCTGTAATCCCAGCACTTGTAAGGCTGAGGAAGGAAAACTGATGGGTTCCAGGCCAGCCTGGCCTACAGTGAATTCAAGGATAAGCCTGCACTATGAAGTGAGACCTTGTCTCAAAACATAATAAAAACACCCGGCTCATGGTCCCCAATCTAGACCACAAGATGACCTTGTACCTCTTTTTCCCCAGAGCACAGCAAATTTAAGTTAGTATGGGGACCAGACAAAGTGAAGTTAAGGGCAAGTGGAGAGCAACAGCTTGGCCAGTACTTGGCTGTACAGCAGATATCCAGACTACCAAAGCAGACTGCCTTGGTTGACTGCTTCCCTTTCAATGACCTTAAAGTCCGGAGCCAAACTTCCCCTAAAAGGTCAGATAGTAAATATTTTAACTTTGCAGCCAAATAACCTGTATTTTTTTTGCAAGCAGCCAGAGGGTATGGCAATGCCCTAAGAAAACAGGTAGCCAGGTGAGCCAACTGCCAACTCCTGCCCCTGATGCTCATGTGTCAATGAATTTATCTGATGCAGTTTTTTTTTTGCCAAGGGCAGGGCTGGCATGGCATGTGGTGACAGGGATCAAACCTCGGAACCCTGCACCTGCCTAAGCTTACCTAAGCAGGTGCTTTAGACTGCTGAGCTATCTTGCTGGTCCCCTTACCTGAGAAAGTTTTAAAAACTGGACAGTGCCCCCTAGCAGTGGAGAAGTACCCCAAACTGCCTAAGCCACACACACCCCAGCCCACAGATGGATTCCAGCACTCACAACCAGCCCAGCCCTTGGGAGAAATCTGACCTGAGCAGGAGCTCCCAGTCCAGGGAGAAACAAGCCCAAGCTTACCTGCAAATTCCTGCCGCAAGGCTCGAGCAAAGGCTCTACCCACCACCTGTGCGCCCATCACAATGATCTGGGCCAGGTACTTGGCCTGTGGGCAGAGCAGGCACCTGGTCAGCAGGCTGCCTTCCCAGGGCCTGGAAAGGTAGTACCCACCCTACAGATGGCTGCCAAGTGGCAAGGAAGCTGGTGCACTGAAGGTATGAGGCACTGACTACAGACACAGGCCAAGGGGCCCTGATATAAAGAAAAAGCTTCAGCTGGGAGGAGGGGTTCATATAGTCTCTGGAGTTCCCAGAGTTAGGATAGTCCTATGGCCTTCAGGAAAGGCAAAAGAGCCAAGACAATGTGGCTGCATATAGAGAGTATAACTTACAAATACTGTAGCCTGGCAGGCAGGACAGTCATTTTGCACCCTAAGGCCTCAAATAGCTCTTTTTGTGCTTCTGAGATTGTCTTGTCTAGCCTCCATTTCACCAGAGGTGTAACTTTTCCCCAGACTATTCAAGTCCTGTACTTGGAGTCCATTCCAGTCAACGCAACAAAATTAGAATTCACTTAGAGCAAGACAGTCTCCACTTATAGGAGCTAGAAGCTCACAGGAGGGTATTTAGACAAGCACTAAGGGCTCAGGGATTGGGAACAGTGCAGTTAGTTTATCTCCTCAGCCACTGGTTCAGCCAAGTCATTCAAACACTGGTTTACGTCCTATGTCTATAATACTCTCTGCTCAGCATTTGAGAACAAAGACATACAGAACCTGGTCTCTGCCCTCCTAGTTGGCCACAGACCCACATAGGCTGGCAGGGAAATTGGCTGCAGCAGTGAGGTTATACAGAGACCTTCAACATTTGACTCACTATCCCATGTGGGCACCCAGGGAGTTTTTGTCTAAGATGAGACCAGAAGTACAGTCAACAAGAGGGAGCACTTAGGAACAGGAAATAGGTACTGGGAAAAAGATTGTACTTTTCCTGGGCTGGGTTCTAATGTGAAGACAGAATTGTAAGAGTATATTAGGGCTTTCTAGGCACAGGAATTGGAGGAAAAATATAAGGGACATCTAGGGAGCAGTCAATAGCCTGGGCTGACAGGAGAGTAGACAAAACAGGCAGATGACATGAAAAAAAAAAATACAGATTTTTTTTGTGAAATAGAGAACACATAGATAGCATGTATAAAACATGATTCTCTGGGAGACTAAGGCAGGAGAACCTCAAGATGGAGCACAGGGGCTGGGGAGATAGCTCAGCAGAATAAGTGCTTGCCTGGCAAGTGTAAGGCCAAGTTCAATCCCTGGTACCGCAAAAAAAAAAAAAAAAAAAAAAGATGGAGCACAGACCGGTCAACATAGCAGGACTCTGTTTCATAATATTAAAAAGGGGGAGGGCATCTTGGGAGCCAAGATACCTGTGGTGTAGACCTGCAATCCTGTAACTCCTGGGAGGCTGAAGCAGAATTCTTAAATTCAAGCCTGGCCTAGACAACATAGCAAGACTGTCTCAAAATAAAAAATAATCCCAGTAAACAAGAAGCTGACCCAGAACTGCTGAGTTCAAGGCCAGCCTGGGCTACATAGGGAGAGACTGTCTCAAAATAAAAGAGTTGAGACTATAGTTTAGAGCAAAGGCCCTGGGTACTATCCCTAGTACTAAGAAAAAAAAAAAAAATTGATCTCATGTCCGTGAAAGGATATAAATAGAAGCACAGAGGGCACTGAAACATATTCATTTTACTTTTCTGCTTGTACATCCCTGTAGTTAGAATTCCTGTGTCAGTATTTTTTTTTTTTTTTTTTTGGTGGAACCAGGGATTGAACTCAGGCCCTTGCACTTACCAAGAAAGTGCTTATTCTATTGAGCCATCTCCCCAGCCCCTAGTCAATAAGTATTGACTCAGCTTGTGCGCCAGGTGCTGCAAACATGTCCTACTGTTTGTGTCATTTAATCTCAGTAACCCCAAGGGGTTGGTGATCAACCTGAGGACACAAGGCTGGTACTCAAGGGAATGGGGAGGGTAACCCAGACTTGTGCAAAGTCATCCACAGACTGCTGCCTCCACAGGATCCTGGGGCTTGGAGAGAGGTAACTAAGCAAACTGACCAGTATCAGGAACCCAACTCAGAGGTCAAGGAGGGGCTGTCAGATTCCAGTGGAATCCAGACTCTAGTAGAACTGGGCTCCTTTGGCTCCCAAAACCCTGCCCTCCCCTAACAGGCAGAATGTGATTATAGGCCATTAGGGGAATGAATAAACAGAAGTGGATTTCCATTTTATAAGTAGGTGGAGATTTCACAAGCCCTGGAGATTTCATGAACCCTGGATTTCACACTAGAAAGCACACCTGGAGTTTTGTAATCAAAGTTGGGGAGGGACTGAAGCCAGCTATGTTGCAAATGTAAGGAGTGACAGGCACTTGCTTACTAGGTAACTTTACCTAATTCTGCCCTCCTTGCCTGAAGCCACTCCCAAGTGGGACAGGAGGCTGAGATTTCCTGGTCCTCTCTGACAGGCCATCAGTGACTCTGGAGGGTTTTCCTGATTAACCTTACCTTAAACCAAAAGCCTGTCTCTCTACTGCGACATATCACACATGGCCTTGTAATCACTGGCTTGCTTTTTCTGTTGAAACTGATGACTACTGCTAAATAATGCATGTTAAGAATTGAGGTGCATAGGGGCCTGGCCCTAGCTCAGTCTTTTAAGTGGCTGCTTCCACAAAGCTGTCAGCCTCAGGTTCCTGGAGTTCGAACCTCACCACTCTCCCTCTGGCCAAAAGTGCTCTGAAGGCATTCGAGGAAAAAAAGAATTGAGGTGCAGGCCTGGGATATAGCTCAGAGGCACAGTGCCTGCCTGGCAAGTACAAAGTCCTGAGTTGAATTCCCAGAACCAAAAAAAGAAAGGGCCGGTGAGATAGGTCAGTGGTCTAAAGTGCCTGGTTAGGCAAGTTTAGGCAAAGCACTCAGGGACCGTGGTTCAATCCCCAACACCACATGCTGCAACAGCCCCACTACTTGGGTGAGTAGAGCCAGCCCCCCATGCACACAATGAATTTGAGGTGTTGCCCAGTGTGGTGATGCATGCTTGTAATCCCAGCACTCGGATGCTGAGGCAGGAGGATCAAAAGTCTGAGTCCAGCCTGGACAATTTAGCAAAATCCTGTCTCCAAATAGGATATTTATAGAAAGAACTATGGCTGAGGACAGAGAGTATAGCTTAGTGGCAAAGCACTTGCTCAACATGCAAGGTCCCTAGCACTAAAAAACAAAACAGGGCTAGGGAGATAGCTCAGCAGTCTAAGCACCTGCCTGGAAAGTGCAAGGACCCAGTCTGATTCCTGGTATCACATGTGATGCTGGACCCATGACCCAAGGCGTGCCGTGCTGGCCATCAAAACCAGACGTGGTGACACATGGCTGTAATCCCACTGCTAGGGAGACTGAGACAGGAGGATCACTATGAGTCTGAGCTGCATAGTGAGACCCTGTACTAAATAAATTAAAAAAGAAAATATAAATAAAAACAAAACAATTTTTAAAGTCTGCTTGAGTGGGGGGATAGCTCAGTGGCATAAGCTCCTGCCTGACAAACACAGGGCCTGCGTTTGATTCCCAGTACCAAAAAAAAAAGAGAGAGAGAGAGAGAGAGAGAGAGAGAGAGAGAGAGAGAGAGAAAGAAAGAAAACTCCCAACTGACACTATAACTGGGAACTTCTTCAATCACCCCTGCTCATATTAAGCCAAAGTGACATGGTAGCCTGTGGTTCCACTGTCCATAGCTACCTGGCTATGGGGAAGGCAGGCCTGACCCCCAAAGTTTCAGCAGCTGTATGGGCAGTGCAGCATAGCAGTTACACGGGAAGGCACTGGGATTCCCTGTTTGCAAATCCTGAGTGTGAGGCCCAAGATAAGTTCTCAACCCCTGAGCCCATTCTCTTACTTGTAAAATGTAGACAATACAGCGGTCACAGAAATTAATGAGTATAAGGTGCCGGACAGAACTTAATAACACAGCACTCCCCCCCCCCCCCGTCTCATTGTATAGGACAGGCTGGCCTTTAATTCACTTATGTCGCTCAAACTGGCCTCCAATTTGAGGCATTTGTCCTGCTTTAGCCTCCCAAGTGTTGGGATTACAGCTGTTCACCACCACACCCAGGACTCATCTGATATAGTCAGTCCCTTTGATTCCTCAAGGGTAAAGGTTGGAAAATAAAGTTTTATTCCCTGGAGAATTTGGAAGCAGAAAAGGAAAGCAGGGAATGATGCTGATCCAAACTGAAATCCTAGCTGTGTTCCTCATTAGTTATACTGCCCTGGGCAAACTACCCCACCTTTCTGAACCTCAATTTTCTTACCTGAAAACTGCTTTGGTATGGGAGGTAAGGCACTTGAGATGTAAAACCAAGCAGCTTTTATGACAACCTCAGAACAGCTTTGTTTCCAGACCAGATTCTCTTTGGTAATACTGGTCTGGCGATTGGACAACCAAACCTCTTACCCACCTACATGAACCCAAGTATTTCCCCAAGGACTGGCTATGAGTCAGGCAATGCTTGCAGGGAGCAGAGATCTGCCTGCTGTAGCCACAAGTGACCAAAACAGCACCAGGTAAGGTGACACACCCAGGAGACCCCTTGCACCCCAGTTAACTGACTGATACTCAGACTTGAAGATTCCAAGAGAGAGCAACAAGCCCATGTGGTGACAGGACTCCAACTCTGGACTCACTATGGGTAGCACACACATTCATTTATTGTCTGAGGAGCAACTTGACACAGTACAGCACCCAAATCCACAGCTGGGGTAAAGGACAAAAATAGCCCTAGGGGGCATCCACACTTATCACTTTAAAAAAAAAGTATATCAAGAACAGAAGCCAGGCATGGTGGCACATGCCTGTAATTCTAGCACTTGGGAGGCTGAGACAGGAACATAGGGAACAAAAAGCAAGTGCGGGTGGCACACACCTATAATCCTGAGATGTGGGAGACTAAAACAGGAGTATCTCAAGTTGGAGTCCACCCTGGCCTACATAGCAAGTTTGAGGTCAGCCTGAACTACATATTGAGACCCCCTCGTATCAAAAACCAAAAATAAAACAACATAAAGGAGACAGATGTGGTGATGATGCCTATAATCCTACTAGTCGGGAGGCAGAAGCAGGAAGATTTTAAAGTTTCAGGACATACTTGCACTATGTAGTGAGTTCAAGGCCAGCCTCCAGTACATAGCAAGACACTGAGTGGGGTGATGACAAAAAAGGAAGGAACAAGTCCCACTTTCCATTAGACCTGTGTGGAATAGTGTTCCTTCAAAACAGAACTGCAGGCCCTCAGGCTGATGCACAGACTATCACTGAGATACATCCTTTTCAAGAATTCATTGAGACTAGATAGAAGCCTGGTCGGGGCCGGGGAGATAACTCAGTGGAATAAGCGCTTCCCTGGCAAGTGCTAGGGCCTGAGTTCAATCCCTGATTCCGCAAAAAAAAAAAAAAAAAAAAAAAAAAGATAGAAGCTTGGTCACTGAGGGCACCTGCAAACAGCTGCTGGCATTACAGTTAAAGAGGAAAGAAGTCAGGACAACAACTGTGACATCTGTCTTAGGGTTCCTAGGGCCCTAGCACTGGCCTGCACAGCAGGCCCCCATCATGTACTCAAACAAATCAGTTATTGAGAACACACACATAGCAGCTGGTGAAGATAATATTAGTGGTCTAAGCACCTGCTTGGTAAGTACAAGAATCTGGGTTGAATCCCTGGTATTACATGCTGTGTCAGCCTGCAAAACCTGGCATGGTGGCACACGCCTGTAATCCCAGCACTGGGGAGGCGGAGACAGGGGGATCACTATGAGTCCGAGCTGTGTAGCAAGATCCTATACCAAATAAATAAATAAATAAATAAATAAATAAATGTAAAAAAAAAAAAAGAATAACCAGCCCCTCTGAGCTCTGCTTTACCCAAAACTGTAGTCTCAGAAACTCTGTCCTCAGACAGGGCTTCCAAATGCTTCCTAACCCCTAACTTGAAAGCCTCTAGGAGCTCCAAAGTACACAGTTCTCTACAGCTATGTGCAGATTCAGCCAACACCTCAGCCTGGCATTTCAACCTCTCCATATTCCCTCTACTTACTTTTTTCCTCCATACTGAATACTTCACAATGCTTTTGCTGTTGAGTTCTTTAACTTCAAATTCCCCATCCCAACCTGACACTGTCAAGACCTAAGATCCTTGAGGTCTTGGCTCAACATACTGCCCTTTCACCAGTTCTTCACTAGCAGAGCTCCTGCTACTAGAGAAGTGACTAGAATTACAAAATTGAGGCTTCTGGGCCAGCCAAATAGCTCAGTGGATTAAAGCACCTACAAGCAGGAGCAGGGGCCAGGGGTTTGATCCCCAGGCCTGCCATGCCAGCCCCGCCCCAAGGGCGCACTGACATGGCAATTGAGACTAGGCATGGTGGTGCATGCCTGTAATCCCAGCTCTTGGGAGACTGTAAACAGGCGGATCACTAGTAGTGAAACCCTGGACACCCTGTAAACCTTTCCCTTAAAAAAATAAATAAAATGAACAAACAAAACAAAACTGAGGTAACTTTTAGAATCTTGTGTCACCAAGTAAGGCTGCTTATACCAGGCTTCTTAGCCTTTTTGTTTTTTTTTTTAAAGTACTATAAGGTACTTCCACCACAGCAACCATTGAAGAACAGTAGCCATGGCCCTATGCTATCCCATGGCTGTGGGCCTCAACAAAGGACCACAAGGTGACTAACAATGTGCTCAAACCAAGGCACAGCCGCTACTGCAGACGCCTCACCAAACACATCAAGCTCATGCAGGACATGATCCAGAAGGTGTGCGGCTTCGCCCCCTACAAGCAATGTGCCATGGAGCTGCTCAAGGTCTCCAAGGACAAGCGTGCCCCCAAGTTCATCAAGAAAAGGTTGGGGATGCACATCCGTGCCAAGAGGAAGTGTGAGGAGCTGAGCAATGTGCTGGCCACGATGAGGAAGGCAGCTGCTAAGAACAGAGCCTCTTTAGAATAAAGCTTTGCAGAAAGTTGAAAGAAAGAATCATAAGGTATCTGGGACCTAAAAGCCCGACCCCACATGAAATAAGGTCCGTCCTCCCTGTAGTACTTACTCTCTTTTCATATTAACACACTGTCATTAATTTTAATTTAATTTTATTTTACCAATTCACTTATCTTCTCTTTTAGAATACAAATTCTGCCAGGGCCACATTTTATCTGGCCTTGGCTGGCGGAGGCTCAGAGTTCAATGAGGGAATACAAATGAAGGAGCCAGTTCTGTAAAAGATCACTGTAGATCCTCAATAAATAACCACAAGACAGGAGTAAAGTGGTGGCAAACGTAGCCTGGGGACACAAAGACCTGGGCTCAAAACTGTCTCTGACTTATGGAAAAAATGACCTTGGAAGAGTCAAATTCTAGCTTTAGGTTCCTTATGTGTAAAATGGGGTCAAGGATAGTATGTCTCCATTATGAATTCAATGAGAATCTGCACAAAGCCTCCTCTCAAGGCCTGGAACTTGTAAATACCTAATTTCTACTTCATTCTCCTCATAAATTAGGAGAGTCCCAAACCGACTGAATCAAAATAATTTGGGTAACATATATAGGGCCTCCACAAATCGTGCTCAAGGACCTGCCTTTTAAATTTTTTATTAATTTTGAGACCGGATTTGGCTAAATCGCTGAGTTGCCCAAACCGGGCTCAAGCTCTCGAGCCTCGTGCCTCAGCCTCCCAGACCTGCTTTCCCAACCCTGGACAGGGTCTCTATGTAGTTCAAGGTGGTCTCGACAGCCTCAGCTTCACAGATTGCTGGGAATACAGGCGTGTGCTACCGCTCCCAGCAACCCATGCCTTTCTAAAGGTTCCCAGTTAACCGGCCAGCACACAGGTTTGTGGACTGGCTCTCGGGGACCACAGTACAGCAGAAATGCTATCTTCCCCAGGCCTGGGAACCAGTTCAATACCAGGTCTACTATTTCACCGGGTAGTCGACTGTAAAACGGAGACACTAACCGGCGAACCCCTGGGGCTGCGCTGAGCCCCAAGGCTCGAGGACTTCCTATCTTCCACCCCCCGCTGCCCAGGGTGGCTCATTCTCAGAGGCTGGGCACACCGAGCGGGCGCTTCCGGTCCGCCACACAAGCCCCGCACTCCAGGCCCGCAGCGCCGGGCCACAGGTTGCAGCCCCTCTGCCCGCCGGCTTCCGCCGCGCTGCGACGCCCCCGGACTCCGCCGTGTGGTACGCATGAGACGGGAGCACAGTTCTTTCCGCCTAGCTGGGGCTCGGAACTCGCCGCCCTGTTGTCCTTCCGGCTTCTCCCTCCCGAGTTAGTACCCGCCTCAGGCCTCACCATGGTGACTGCTGTGCCTCAGGAACACGGGGTCGAAATTTCTGGAGCCCCTGACCCGGCTCAATGGCGGTCCGCAGCTCAGAGGTTAAGAAAAGCGCCAGACAGCGCCTGCGTGAGCATGCGCGCCGTCAAGGGCCCGGGAACCGGCGCCAGCTTTGACGTACGCGGGGCGGAGCTTGCCTTAGGTCAGCCGCCTACTAGGCCTGCGTAGGGCGGACCTAGATCCTGGCTGTTGAGCAATTGCCCAAAAAGTGGGGATTATTGCAAGTGGGTCAAAAGTGGTGCTATTGGGGCTGGTGAGATGGCTCAGTGGTCTAAAGCACCTACTTAGAACAAGCTTAGCAAAGCCCAGGGACGGCGGTTCAATCCCCCAGCACCACATGCCAGCCAGCCCCGCCCCCTGGTGGGCTGAGCTGGCCACATACACACAAAATAAATAAATAAATAAATAAATAAATAAATAAATAAATAAATATTAAAAAAAAAAAAAGTGGTGCTATTTATTCCCTGCATTTCTCTAAAATACTTAGGACCAAAACATTATATAAAATTGACACAGTATAGAGTGGGATGCCAAATTCTCCAGAATTTTAAGAAAACAAGGAACTTCAAAATGGGATTCTGCCTATGGAGATACCGGAGGCTCCGTTTTTTCCCTCCAAATCTGCCCTCAGATGACACTCATGAATGTCTACGAGACTCCTCTCACTGTGCTGTAACATACCCTCCATTCTTTTGGGGTTTTGTTTTTTGTTTTGATCTTTTTGAGATAGGGTCTCACTTGTAGCTCAGGCAGGCCTTGAGTTCACTTTATAGCCCAGGCTGGTCTCGAATTTGAAATGATTCTCATGCCTCAGCACACCACCCCAATCTTGGAATTGATTATAGGTCTGTACCCCCATGCCCGGTTTTGTGTTTGTGTTAAGATAGTCTCACTGTATAGTTCAGGGTAGTTTCAAAGCAGTTATGTAGCCCTGACTGGTCTGGAATAGGCTTCAGCCACCATAGCCAGCTTCATATGTTTTTAGTAACAGTCCTTTTTTTTTTTAAATACAGGAATCTTTTTTATTTATTTATTTATTCATTTTATTTATTTTTTATTTATTAGAGAGAGAGAGAGAGAGAGAGAGAGAGAGAGAGAGAGAGAGAGAGAGAGGTGTGTGTGTGGCCAGCTCAGCCCACCAGGGGGCGGGGCTGGCTGGCATGTGGTGCTGGGGGATTGAACCGCGGTCCCTGATGCTTTGCCAAGCTAGCTCCAAGTAGGTGCTTTAGACCACTGAGCCATCTCTCCAGCCCCAGTAACAGTCCTTTTGAGATAGAATTCACACACAATTTGGCTCAAAATTTTATTTATTTGTCTTGTTGACACAGGGTTTCCCTGTGTAGCCTAGGCTGGTCTTCAACTCACAGCAATATTCCTGCCTCAGCCTCCTGAATGCTGGGATTTTAGGCATGCACCATCACACCCAGCTCTCAGCTCACTTTTTTAAAGTCCATAATTCAGTGCCTTCTAGTATATTCACAGAGCTGTGCAATTGTCACAACCATCTAGGTTTTTTTTTTAAAAAAAAACAAAACCTTTTGTCTAAACCATTCTTCTCCAGGCTCTCTCTGGCTGGCTCCTTCAGGTCTTAGCTCTCAAATTAAATGAGTCACCTTCTCAGATCCTTGAACACCCTGGATTACCCCTGTATCTTTTTGTTGTTGTTGCTGTTATTCTTTGTGACAGGGTCTTTTTAATGTAATCAGCCTGGCCTTGAACTCGCTATGTAACTTTCAGACCGGCCTCAAACTTGTATCAATCCTCTTGCCTCAGCCTCCTGAGTGCTGGGAAAACAGGTATGTGCCACCATCTCCTGGCATGCCCCCGCATCTAAATCACATCCTTTCACTAGTTTTTTCTTCTCAATGGCTGGCTGGCTCCTCTCACTCATTTGGTACAGGGCCTCACTATGCAGCTTGGACTTGTAGTGATCTTCCTGTTTTCAGCCTCCCCCAGCACTGGGATTACAGGTATGTGCCACCATGCCTGGTCTTCGTGGCCAGCTCAGCATGCCCGGGGTAGGGGGTGAGGTGGGGGAAGTCTGGCATGGGCTGTGGTGCTGTGATCAAACCCTGGTCCCTGAGCTTGCCTAAGCAGGCACTTAGTCCACTGAGCTATCTCGTCTGCCCCTCAATGATTCTCTTAACACTGTGCTTTCCCGAAGATAGTCTGGGGTTCTCTTAGGCAACAAAGTTATATTAAACTTAAGCTTCTATTTACTCTTTGCTGCCACCATAAAAGGTTGCTCTCTGCCATGTGCCACTCTGTCTTGGACCTAGCTGAGTATGGACTGAAACTTCCAGTAACTGAGAGCTAAATAAACCTTTCCTTCTTTTTTTAAAAAAACAAAAAACCTTTAAGCTCCCTGAAAGACCTGCTCTCCTGTTCATTACAGTAGGCTAGGACATCTAAGCTGTTGCTGGGCTCCTGAGTGCTGAGTGAAATGAAGTCCTAGCAGCCTGCATCTAAAAAGCCTTAAAAGCAAAATAAGGCTGGGACTGGAAGCACAGGGCCTAACCCCTCTCTCATATTCCTCCTATCCTCACCTTCTTTTCAGTCAAAGACCAGAGGACGCAGAAAGTGGCCAACTTAGAAAAGTTTAATTGCTGCAAACATCCAGGGTGTGTGCAGGCTGGTTGGTTCCTGTGGAGCTAACATTGCACCAACTGGGCAATCAGTTTGCTAAGGCCCCTTTTCCAGGCATCAAGCCTGGGAAGGAGAGCAAATGGTCCCAAGCCTCTGAGGCTGGAGCTGCTTCAAATGACTCAGTGAGGGGCCAGCTCCCCATGCTCTTGTCTCTGAACTGGGCAACAGGTAAGATTTGTTGGCATATAGTAACTTAAAGTGCTGGACAAAACCAGTCAAGGCTGGGATTGGCTGGGGTCAGTAGAAAGAGCAGGAGAGACAGAGAGCCCAGGGCCTGCCCAGGGACATGCTTCTGACCCCTCTCTACCCCATTCACATGCTAGCAGGCAGTTGAGGAGAAGCAGCTGGTCCTAGAGAAAGCAGAGGTGCAGACAATCTCAGGAATTTCAAGTGGGCCCAGCGGCCACCAAAGTGCCCAAAGCCCACAGGAAACCAGGGCTTCTGGGATGGAGTGTGCCAGAGCCAGAGAGGTGTCTTCCAGTTTGGAGAGATGTGAGGTATGCAGAGGTACAAGGTGGTTCTAGGAGGTGGCAGCAACAGCTGTGGCCAGAGGTGACTGGTGGGTAGGCTAGTCCTAGGGTGATAAACCAAGAAGTAGGAAGCTGTTAAGAGGCCTAGGGAGGGAGGGGACACATGCTGCAGTGTGCACTGGAGAGGCAGTGCTGCCAGCTAGAGAGGCTGAGTCCATTTTCCTTTCACTCACCCATTCATCCTCATCCACCCCTTCAAAGGAGTCCTGGGGCAGTGGGTCTTCTCGGTTTCCCAGCTTTGCTACCATGGCATTCAGTAGCTACAAAGTTTAGGCAGGAGAAGAACTGAAAGGAGCAGGACTCACTGACCTCCAAACCATCAGACCCCCATAGTTATAAAACTTCATGATGCTTTGAAAAGTTTTTTCAAGTAAAACCCTGCCAAAGTTGATGGGTTTTCACTGAAAAGACCACAAGGACTGAGACAGTGGGCACCCTGACACATACCTATAATCCCAGGAATCGAACTCATGACCTCGAGCTTGCCAGGTAGGCGCTATGCTGCTGAGCTATATCTCTGGCCCTAATTTCAGCTATTTGGGAGGCTGAGGTAGAAGAATCACAAGATAGGGCTACCCCAGGCTACTAAAAAAGACTGTCTCAGCAGTTTAAAAAATTTATTATTATATTTTTGGGATAGTGTTTTGAGACAGGGTCTTGCTGTATTGTTTAGGCTGGCCTTGAATTTGAGGTAAGCCCCCTGCCTTAGCTTTCCTAGTGCTAGGCATGTGCTACCATGCCTGGCAAAATTAAAACTTTAAATGAGGTAGCTTAGTAGGTAGAATGCTTACACAGCATTTGCAAGGCCCTGGGTTCAATCCCCAGTAGAGCAAAAGAACAAATAGAGACAGAGACTGTGGCACAGTGCCTCTGTCAGGTGCCACCTGTCTATGTACACTACCTCAAATGCACTGCAGGGTCCCTAACACACTTTGGTCCCTAAACTCCAGCTTTGGTTGTGTAAGGCCTGTCCAAGTTGGGACCTCTCCAAGTTGGGACCTCTCCCTGCCCTACCTGGCTTGGTGTGCCCTGGGAACAGCATATGCAGGGACCTAGAAGTTCTCCCCATGAGAAGATCTGGGTTGCAGCTACAGGCCTGAAGGACAACCAACCACAGCCAAGACACAAGGGAAGCTCTCCTGTGCCTACCTCTTCCTTCTTTTGTTGGTCGGACTTCTCTTCCAGGAACTGCATTGAGGATGGGGCTCGCCGGACAGGGGTTTCTCGAGGAGCTTGGCTCACTGGGATGGAGCAAGGATAGGCATCAGACAGTTCCCTGGGTGAGAACTGCTCAGTGCCACGCCTAGGGGACTCCCTGGCAGAAACCCAAGAAGGCATTAACAGCTACTGAACCCTCTGTTTAGGAGGTTTGCCCTGGGTAGCAGCCGGTATGCTGAGTATATTTATTGGGGGTGGAGTCTTGAATGGAAACACAGATCACAGTTCCTACTCTCCAGAGGCTCAGAGATGATCTGGAGACATGGCCCTCCATCCTCCTTCCAAGTTCAAAATCTCAGTGCACCAGCAGGAAGAAAGGACTGGAGTTGGGCTGTCTGCCCCCTCCTCCAGCCCTGCCCAAACTCCCTTGTTTCCTCTCCATACCCAGCCCTGTATTCCACCTGGGATCATGTCAGGAGGCTGCAAGCTGAGTAGCTGGGGTTGTCCATTAGTGCCTCCCAGCCAGGCCTCGGCACTGAGCACAGGCTCCCAGCTCACAGCTGTGTGCGGGAACACGTCATCCTGGAAGAACTCTTTCTGTAACGGTAAAGGGAGTTATTCTGAGATGTGGACCAAATGGCAGGGCACCCTCATATCAAGATCTGGTGTATAACCTCATACATGCGGCGATTTGTATGAGTTTTGTGAATTTCTGCAGAATAAGGAAGCAGGTAAAATAAAAAAAATAAAAAATAAAAAAAAGA